GTGCCAGCTTGGTGGAAGCCCTTACCCAAACCTGGTGAGGGCCAAGCTTCAGCGTCAGGTGGCCGCCAAGGCGCACACGCCAGGCCACCGCGACCACGATCCTTCGGGAACGCTGATCCGACATCTGGTGCCAGCAGTTACGACATGCTACGAGACGCTCCCGAGCGTGGAAACACGCCTTCTGCGTCTTCTGGCGAACCGCCACAGGTAGCGGCCCGCCGCGGTCGCCTACAAGGCGTACCACCACCACCAGATGCAGTTGACGAAGGAGACCGACTGCGGAGAGCTACAAGGAACCCTCTTGCCTCCACCGGCTCGGGGGCTCCACGACTACCCGACTGGACGAGATTTGATATCCACTACAGTCTGCAAAATCTCCGTAGTCACGAACCTCATGTCGTTGAAAGGAACTCCGTAAACTGCACCTACGGTGGTATCACGCGAAGGAACCCAAGATGAGGCTAATCCTAGACAAAGTGGGACTGGACAACGTTCGACTGAATATGATCAAAGAAGTTTGTGACACCTGTCGGGAATGCAGAGCATGGGAACGTCCAGGAAACTCAACACTACCTTCGGTGAGCCTTCCTGGAAATTGGCTCGATGAAGGCGAAATGGATCTCATGTATTACAAGAAACGAACCATATTCCACATTATGGATCGTTGTATTCGCCTGGCAGCAGGCCAAGAGATTTCCGACAGAGAACGTGACGCTATACTCGACGCCTACCACTACTGCTGGATTGCCTATCATGGACCCTTCCAAGTCTTGTACTCAGATGGAGAAGGCGCCCTGAACAATGATACCGCTAAGGCCATGATGGCGAACAGGGGCGCAACACTCCGTATCCGAGCGCCTGGCCAACACGCGACTTCAATCGAGTCACGAAACGGTATTCTCAGGGGCGTTCTCCACATGATTGAGGAAGAGCTGAACAGACACAACATCCCTGTTGTATTCACTAGAGTATTGGCTGAAGGCATCTTCGTTACCAACGCCTTCACGTTTTACAACGGAGCATCGCCATGCCAAGCACACGCTGGACGCCAGCCCCCCTTTCTTCCTGACCTCGACACCCTTGACTTTCCCAAGGGGCCCGAGACGTCAGGCCATGAACGAGAACGTCGCGTGAGGGAAGTTAGCCTAGAAGCAATAACTCAAGCCACGGCTGTGGCCAAGACAAATCGTGCTCTCAGGGCTAAAACGGCTCCAGATGGTGCTCGCCTTTACTCAGCAGGGGATCTGGTCGACTACCATCGACCCACTGCCACTAAGGACGATCATGGAGGCTGGAACGGCCCATTCCCTGTGATCCGTAACGTGCCTGAAAGAGGACACATCGTTGTCAAGGCAGGATCTCGTGAGGTAGTTGTGATGTATCCTGATGCTCGTCACACGCTATACATTGAATGCCTCCTTACACGGGAACTTGGCATGGATAAGATGGCCACGCCAACAGTCCTTACGTATGTGGCACACCTTGGTGCAGGGAAACCTGCCACAGTCTTTGGCTACATCCCAGACTACAAGGGAAACCTCAATCTTTCAGACGACAGCAAGTTTCACCCGCGCGTACATCTTGCACTACAGTATCTCGTGCGAAATTATTTCCGAGTAGAACACGTAGTCGCAGTTAGACTGGCCAAAAGTGTGTCATGTCTACTTGCAGTAAAGAACGCCACCGGGTCTACGCTGATCCACTGCGACAATGATGTTAGCCCAGCCTTCCACTATTATGAGCGTGTGGGCACTGGCCTGAACATTTCTCAAATCACTGGTAGCACTCATTCCAAACTCATCCAACGCTTGACCTCACATGTTCCTTCCTTAGGATTTCACGACGACCTGGCCAAGTATCAGCACTCGGGCACCACGTCTGGAGAACACGATTCGCCTGGAAACAGGCTTCCACCAGACACCCCAGGTGCTTCATCGCCAAGTGAAGGCCGTCTGTCGACAATCTATGAAGAAAACGAGGAACATAATATCGAAGCCATGATGCTGGAAGAGTGGCACGATGAGTTACGTATGGATCTTCATCCCACGACGACTACCGACGATTATCTCTACTGCGTCCCAACAACTATGCTGCCCGACCAATGTGTTTTGGTTTCAGCATCTGTGGACGAAGAAGATATCGTATCGTCGGAAACGCTCGGAGACGAGCCTGAACCACAAGAGCCCTGTCTAGTCTCTCTATGTTCAACCACACACCTGACGAGGGCTACTCTCTTGGCAGTGATGAATATGGTCCCTATGTTGAGTTATGCTTTACATCAGAAATGTCAAACGTAGTGTTGGATCAGACTCAACTTGCACAGCTCGACACTGATATGGTCGCAACGATGAGAGTACATGTATCCTCTGCTGCTAAACGTGCTGTGGTAATCAAGGGAGACGACCTACTCACCAAAGCCGACATAGCAGCACACCCGAAAGAGGTTAGTGAAGCTTTGTGCACTGAACTCAAGATCTGGCTTGATAACCGGTGCTTTGAGATGTATGATTTATCCAAAGCTTCCAACATCATGACATCCAGATATGTATACAAGTGGAAGTTTGTGAAGGTAGGTACCGATAACGTTAAAACCATCCGTCTCAGACTTGTCCTTCGTGGATTTATGGACACTGAGGTTTTCGATGTGGAAACCTTCTCGGGAACCGCTCGAAGGCAGTCCCAGAGACTCCTAGCAAGTGAGGCGGCATGCCATCCAGAGTGGATCTTAGCATCCATGGATATCGACAAAGCGTTCCTCAAGGGTTTGACCTATGAGGAACTTGCCCATGTCACCGGCGAGGAAACTCGCATGGTTTGCTTCACTCTTCCACCGGGAAGTGCCCAGGTACTTCGTACACTGCCCGGCTTTTCATCCTATGACGAAAGCCGACACTGCCTCAGGTGCCTCAAGCCAGGAACGGGTACAAAGGACGCCCCAAGAGCGTTCTCTCTCAAGCTTCGTACGACCACACGAGCTATAGGCCTTACACCGACAAGTTATGATCCTGAATTTGAATTCAGCCAAGATGTGTTAACGGCAAAACATGTCGATGACATTAATATGACAGGCCTAGAGAAAAATATAGACGACTATGTACAACGTGTCGAAAAAGGTGTTTGGCAAAATGCAAGCTTAACAAACACTCATATACGAACTGCTTCGTTCGCTACACTAAGAATGACCAAGGGGGCGTGATCATGGATCAGGACGAGTACATCAAACAACTACGTCCTATCACACACCCAGAACTTACAGGAGCGGCGGCCGATGCCAAAGCCACCAAACTCATCACCGACATGTTCGTCAGCTTGCGAGGAGCCCTCGCCTATGCCCTTCTTACTCAAGTCTGGCTCATGGTATATGTGGTCTCTCTTCAGAAAATCCAAGAGCCCACCAACCTACAAGTCAGACGACTGAATGCTGTGACGCGAAAGCTGATCAGCAGCCCGAAACGCATCACCTTCCCTCGGATGAAGCCGACGAATGAAGTAGACATACACAGTGATTCGGGGTATCGGAAGCTCACCGGGGAGGAGGACGATGAGACCAAGGGCTATGGCATACGCGGGGCCAACGGACTACGGCGAGGAAACTCGCCTCAAGGCAAATCCGTCGTTCACCTCTGTGGCGGACTATGCAAATCACACCGATTGCAGGCGAGGTCCAGCTATGCCGCTGAGGCACTTGCAGCTGCACACAACCTCGATGAGTGTTACCCTACGCTCATCACTCTCCACGAGCTCATGGCAGGGGCTCTGACTCCACGACAACTACGAGATATGCGTGAAGTTGGGGGCCTAGCTAGTAAAGTATCCCTTACCATAGACGCTGAGTCGGTATATAAATCGCTATCCAGCAAGGATCTTAAGATACCGACGGGACGGACCTTGCTTGGACATATTAGCTGGATACGTGAGCTCATGGATATAGGTATAGTGCATAATGTGCAGTGGTGTGATACTAGAGATATGACCGCAGATGGGCATACAAAGGGGAGCATCGATCGGGAGCTGCTTTTGGAAGTGATGTCAGGCAACCAGTCATTTAAGTATGACGTGAAGCAGTTTGTTCTCTTTCGGGGTCCCGAGGACAGAAACAAGCCTAAGTCTAATCAATTTTAGTCTGTCCTTGTTGCCCCCGCGGTCCAATTTGCCAGCATGGGCGCCTACTACAGAGGCGCCCTCCTAGGTGCTCGGGAACGAGCCTTACATTTCACGCTGGGTAACGAGCCTGTTCAATGTGATTCAGGCTCTTTGCCTTAATACCCGTTTGCTCGGTGAGGTATGGCCCGTTTGGCTTACCTCTAGCCGGGCCGATAGCCCTTTACCGTTCAAGGGGCTGTCTCGTATTTGCGTGAAATGCCTTGCGAGGAAACTCGCCTTACAGTCTGGTGTTAGGCCAGTCTGTATGCACTGTTTTCTTGCAAACAGTTGCGCGCGCGGCCTTTGTGGAGCCTAACGCCTGCGCGGCTATACTCTCCGTCTCCTCCCCTCACGACTTTAAGGGTAGCTCTTTGGGAGATGTTATACAGAATCGGGAGTATAGCTCGCGCGCCGTTGCCTTTGGCTCAAGGCACGCGCGCCCTATTTGCCCGGACACTTACCTTAGTGTTCGCTATATGCTGGAAAGATCATTACATCGATCTTATCCTATCTTATCCGTCCATTCCCCATACTGAACCACCCCAGCAGGGCAATGGACGCTATCTGCCATTCGATTCCCATGGGAGCGGATGTTATTTGACTTACCATAGTCACTTTCGACTTGGAATATACCTTGGCTGTTTTGGCTGTGTTGAGCAGGTGGAGTCTCCCCCGTAGAACGCCCTGCTGCAAGCAGTCGCATGAAGCAGTGCATTCACTTGCTCCTGCTCCTGCTCCTGCTCCTGCTCCTCCTCCTCCTCCTCCGCCTCCTCCTCCTCCTCCTCCTCCTCCTCCTCCTCCTCCTCCTCCTCCTCCTCCTCCTCCTCCTCTTGTGTGCCCCACGGGCCCCTTCCGAGGCGCCGATCGCCTGCCCCCGGCCGCGGCCCGGCGCGCCCCGGCCGCGGCCCGGCGCGCGCCGCCGATGGCCCTCGCCTCGAGGGGCGGCCCGCCGCGCGCAGGTCGAGAGGGAACAGAACACACAGACACAACGAATCGTCGACTCCCAGGAAAAAATAAGAAAATCTGGGAAATGGGGAGGGGGGAAGACAAAGACCCCGAAAATATGGGAAAATAGGGGGGAATCTCGTTGTTTGTGTGTATCTGTTTGTGTGCCCTTGGGCGGGGCTTCGGGGCGCGCTCGGTCAAGAGGGAACAGAACACACGCAGACACGAGGAAGCGTCGATGATTCCCCAGGAAAAGATGGGAACACATGGGCAGTGGGGGGGAAGACAAAAAAAAAACAGAACATAAATGAGAATGTTGGGAATCCTATGATATTTGAAAATATATGAAAATAGATGAATATATGGCATTATATGAAGATATAGATATACATATATATATATATATATATATATATATATATATATATATATATATATATATATATATATATATATGAAAATACAGGAAAATGGGGGAATCTCGTTGTTTGTGCGTACTTCTTTGTGTGCCCTTGGGCCCCTGGAGCAGGCCAAGGGCGGGGCCTCGGGGCGCGCTCGGCCACAGGGCCGGCCTCCTCGGCAGGAGCCCGCGGGCCGGCGCGCGTCCGTGCTCCGGGCGGCGCGTGCTGCGACCCCGTGCGACCCCCAAGGTCGACCCCCAGGTTCGACCCCCAGGTTCGACCCCCAGGTCGACCCCCAGGTCGACCCCCAGGTCGACCCCAGGTCGACCCCTAGGTTCGACTCCAGATTCGACTCGGGTTCGACTCTCGGGGTCGACTCAGGGGACCCCCAGGTCGACCCCAGGTCGACCCCAGGTCGACCCCCAGGTTCGACCCCAGGTTCGACTCAGGTTCGACTCGGGGTTGACTCCCGGGTGGACGGACGTTCGATGCAGCTTCGACGCAAGAGTGGAGCTAGAGTGCCTCCAGGAAGGTCCCCAGGATGAGCATCCAGTGCGCAGGAAGCCCCTGGACCGCCTCGCCAGGCCTGCTCGCGTCGTGGAGCAAGAAATTCTGGCGGGCGGTCTGGCGATCGTTTTCTGATCCCTTGTTCTGCCGATCGGCGCGGGCCCTCGGAGCCCCCCCCCCGAATAGATCTTGGCTGTTTTCGGAGCCTGTTTTGAGCAGGCGGAGTCTCCCTGCTGCAAACAGTCGCATTAAGCAGAGGTCCAGAGCCAGACCCCCACCCTCGTGAGCGTTTTTTATTAGTTTGTTGCCGATCGGCACGGGCACTCGCACCCCCCCCTCCCCCGCCCCCCATGGAATATATCTTGGCTGTTTTCTGGCGCCTGTTTCGTGCAGGTGGGACCTCCCCCACAATGGACGCCCTGCTGCAAGCAGTCGCACGAAGCAGAGGTCCAGAGCCAGACCCCCCTCCCTCCCCCCCCCTTTCCGCCCAATGTCGAAACGCCGAATAGAGAAACGCTCACCCGCTTTTTCGGCCCAGTGTCGCAGCGCCGAATACGAAAACATATCTTCTTGGGGCCGTGGTCGGCCACTGGGAGCCCCCGCCTGGCCCCGGGACCGTCGGAGGGCGGCCCGCGCTGAAAGAGCCGGCCCCTGGGGAAAGGGCCGGGGCTCCCGGGGGCCTCCTATGGAAAATAGCACGGCATCGCGCGTCTGGGCTCGGAGGATCCCGCGGCACCGCCGATGCCTCGGCGGTGCGGCCCGATCCAGAGCCCGATCTCCTCCACGCCGACGTCGCCGATGGCAGCGCCGGCGTCGGCGACGTGGCGCGACCCTCCGACCCCCATCTTCTCCGACCCCATTGGGGAGGCCTCTAAAGCCCCAGGCCGTCTCGCGTCGTGAATAAGATCGCGCGGAAACTGAGCTGCCTCGATACGCCCGTTTTGATACGCAACACGTGCCGTGTTCAAGACGTCCGTGTCAATACGTTGCGTGTTGGCTCCACGTATTGGCCCACGTTTTGGCGAACGTATCGCGTCGGATCTACGCTTTCAGTCCACGTGTTGTGCTCCGTATCAATACGCTACGTGTCGCGTGTTGCGTATCGGGACAGCTAAGCGCGGGAAGACTTCTTCGTGTTTTCGGTCCCTCGCGGGCCCTCGCCGAGGGCCGGCGGAAACCGACCCGGGAGGAGAGGCAGGTCCTGGGGAGTGGCTCGAGGCCTTCGGGGGGTCCACGCTGCGTCGGGCGTTGCGTAATAGGGGGGCTCCTCCTCCTCCTCCTCAATTCTACTCCTCCTCCTCCTCCTCCTCCTCCTCCTCCTCCTTCTCCTTCTCCTCCTCCTCCTCCTCCTCCTCGATCCTCCTCCCCGATCCTCCTCCTCCTCCTCCCTCCTCCTCCTCCTCATCCTCCTCCCCGATCCTCCTCCTCCTCCTCCTCCTCCTCCTCCTCCTCCTCAAGCCCCCCCCTGCTTGGATAGCAGGGGCCCCGTCATCGACTCGGGGATAGCCGGGGCACCCCCCACTGGCGGAGCCAGTGGGGTGGTCGGCGCCGCCTGGATCGGCGGGGTATAAGTAGAGCCGGGGACCAGGCCGCAGGACTGGCGGAGGCGGGAGGGGTCGCGCCTCCCCCGGGGGAGGGGTAGGCTGCTGTGGGACTGTGCCCCTCCCCTCCTCCTCTCTCCCTTCTCCTCGTCGTCTCCCCCTCTCGTCTCGTCTCCTTCCCCCAGGGTTCACAGCTCCCACGGCGGTTCACCCCCCCGCCGGGGCGAGGTGAGGCCAGGGGACCCGCGGCGGCGCGCGGAGCGCGCCGCCGCCGTTAGTCACGCGGTGGTCGATGTTTCGGCCGCGTGCGTTCCAGGAGACTCCGCCTTGTCGCCCAGGACAGGCCTGGGGTCAGGTGGCAGGCTCGTTTTCGCCGCCGTTGTGCGTGTTTCGCATCTTCGGAGGTCAGGCCAGCAGAATGCAGCATAATCCCCCTCCTCGATCCTCCTCCCCGATCCTCCTCCTCCTCCTCATCCTCCTCCTCGATCCTCCTCCTCCTTATCATCCTCATCCTCATCCTCATCCTCATCCTCATCCTCATCCTCATCCTCCTCGGTCCGCCTCGATCCAGGGGCGATAAACTGGGGGGCGAGGATAGGTGCACCTTACGTTTACGCCAGCCCGTTTGCGTATTGACCCCCATTGAGCAACGCCCAAAAGAAACCCAAACATCCAAGGCTTGTTTTTTAATCCAGATGCTTCCCGGACAGGGCGCAGGCCCAGGGTTCTTCTCTTAGTCGGTAAACTTGTCCCCGGTGCCAAGTTGTTGCAGGGCCGGCGGTTGAATGCTGATAAATAACGAGGTCGCGTAGGGTCGACGGATTAAATGTTGAGAATGTCGCGAGCGAAACGCTGGTGTTTGGAATTCCGATCGATAAACACATGGTTAAGTGAACATGCTCGTTTGTTGCGAGTGTCTCGAGCCCAACGGTTCTTCTGCAGAATTGGTTGAGGATGTTTCGAGCGAAGCGCTGGTTTCGACATATAGATTGAGCCCTCTCCTGGGGGACACAGTTCAGAGGATGTCCCAGGCAAAATGTGTGTTCTCACCTGCCCAGGTCTCCCTGGGAGGTATCTAACATGGTGGCCCCGAGCTGGAACCTGTTTTCACGTGTCCAGGCCAACCAAGGCGGTATCGAAGGTGGTGGTCCCATGCTGGAACAACGTGTTTTTACGTGTCCGGGCCACCCAGTGGGGTATCTAACATGGTGGTCCCGAGCTGGAACCATGTGCTTTTACGTGCCCAGGCCTCCCAGAGGGATATCTAACATGATTGCCCCGAGCTGGAACCATGTGTTTTTACGAGTGCTGGTCACCCACGGGGGGATATCTAACACGGTGGTCCCGAGCTGGAACCACGTGTTTTTACATGTCCAGGCCGCCCACGAGGGGGGCATCTAAGATGGTTGCCTCTTGCCCTTCGATGGAACCATGTGTTTTCAAGTGCCCAGGCCGCTTAGAGGGGTATCTAAAATGTTAGCCCCGAGCTGAAACCACGTATGTTCCCGAGCTGGAACCACGTGTTTTTCACGTGTCCAGGCCACCCACGTGGATATCTAAAATGGTTGCCCTGAGCTGGAACCATGTGTTTTTAACGTGTCCATGCCACTTGGGGCAGTATAGAACATGGCTGTCTCGAGCTGGGACCACGTGTTTTTCACGTGTCAGGGCCACCCAGGGAAAGTCTAAGATGAGGGTCCCGAGCTAGAACCCCATGTTTTCACGTGTCCAGGCCACCCATCGGGGAGTCCAACATGGTGGCTCCGAGTTGGAACCCGGTGTGTTTTGCGTGTCCAGGCCGCCCACGAGGAAGGGATTTTTAAGATGATTGCGTATTTCCCCTCGCTGGAACCACGTGCTTTCAGATGTCCAGGCCGCCCGGAAAGGTATCGAACATGGTGGCCTCGAGCTGGAACCAGGTGTTATCAAGTGTCCAGGCCGCCCAGAATTTTATATAACATGGTGGCCCCGAGCTGGAACCAAGTGTGTTCACGTGTCCATGCCACACAGAAGGGCTATCCAACATGGTTGCCCCGAGCTGGAACCACATATTTTACGTATGCGGGCCACCCACGGGGGCATCCAACATGTCGTCGTTTGGGTGCCCCCAGCGTGGGGGTCCGGCCCACAAGAGCCAGACAAAATCAATATATCGACACCAGATACACAATACTCTGACATAGGTTCTTTGGCTGGTGATTCCCCTGATTTCCTCATGGGGTATCCAACATGAGGGTCCCGAGCTGAATCCATGTTTTCACGTGTCCAGGCCACCCACGTGGATAACTAACATGGTGGTCCCAAGCTGGAACCAAGTGCGTTCACGTGTCCAGGCCGCCCAGGGTGGTATCCTAAATGGTTGCCCCGAGCTGGAACCATGTGCTTTCACATGTCCAGGCCGCCTAGGGGGATATCGAACATGGTTGTCCCGAGCTGGAACTACATCTTTACGCGTCCAGGCTACACAGGGAGACATCCAAGTTGTGGTCGTCTGGCTCCAAGTTGTGGTCGTCTGGCTTTATGTCTGAGCAAGTTGTGAGGGTGTCTCGAGCGAGGGCTGCGGAA